AGGGGGTGTTCTTGAATTGAAGTCTGTGGGGCGACAATTTGCTTTAAGGTATATGGGACAGGATTTTGCACTGAAGTCACTGGAAGGGGGGGGGGGGGTTGCATTGAAGTCTATAGGATCTGATTTTGCATTAAAGTCCATGGGTCAATACTTTGCATGTGAGTTGCCTTGACACATTTTTTTTATACTGAAAACAGAGAAGCCATTAGCTGCATCATTATTGGCATCTTTTCTCCTATCGGCAAATGCTGATAACACTATTTATACATATACGTTTCTGCCACTGATATATCTGTGCATCCCTACTATTTTTTTTGCTGCACCACAAAGCACATGGGGTTGTCAACACATCTCAACCCCCTGGTTGCCATGTGACAGTGCCCATGTGATAGGGGCACAAGTGTTATAGAGCTATAGCTGGAAAAATCAGGTCTTCCCTAGGGACCAGTGGGAGAGAAACACAAATCCTTTGGCAGTTGGAACAATTCACTTATCCTCTTGCCGCCCCATCAGAGTACATTTACTGTGGTAGTGCAACATGAGCAGGCACGGTCACGTACATATACATGTGACTGCCTTCTTCTGGGTCTGCAGATGTGTGCATGCATTTGGACACAGTGCAAGTTTGACTAATGATTTCAGCCAATGATTTTGGATGAAGTCAGCTGATCAGGGGCGGACTGACAACTCATGGGGCCCCCGGGAAATAGGGGATCATGGGGGCCCTGTGTCCTCACACACACTCAAACCAAACCCAAAAAAGTATATGAAAAATACTAGGGGCATCTCATGGGGCCCCCTACTGACCCTGAGCCCTCAGGCAGTGCCGAGAGCCCAAATGGTCAGTCCACCCCTGCAGCTGATCAGCTATGTCCAATCACACACAGGGATTTGTGTACAGGGAACAGGAATCTGGCAGTTTTTCTCCCTGCAAAACAGGAAGAAAAAAAGCCATATAGTAAAGTAAAAGCAGCACATATTACACATTGTTAGGCACACATTTAACCCCTTGATTGCCACTAGATGTTAACCATTGCTGCTAGATGTTGCCCCCTTCCCAACCAGTGACATTATTACAGTGACAGTGTATAGTATTAGCACTGATCACTGTATTAGTGTCACCATTGAGTTCAGTGTCAGTTAATCAGTTAGTGTCCCTCCCAGCCAGTGTCAGCTAGCGCCAGATTGCCGGCTACACTATCACAGTCCCGCTAAAAGTCGCTGATCTCCATCATTACCAGTATAGCATCATATCTGCATAAATTCCAGTATATATACCATTTGTAGATGCTATAACTCTCACACAAACCAATTAATACACATTTTTTTTTTAGATTTTCCTTTTACCAAAGACATGTAGCAGAATATATTTTGGTCTAAATATAAGAAGAAATTTGACTTTTTGATTTTTTTTTGGATATGTTTTATAACATATTTTTAAAATATATTTCAAATATATTTTTCTTCCATATGGGTAAAGAGTTTTGAATGGATAAGACATTTTATTACTTTTTTTCTGAACTCCGGAACGGATTGATTGGTTTTCAGTGCATTCCTATGGGAAACTGCGTTCCGGTTTAGGAGTTTTTCACAATACGAAAAGTCCCGCAGGACACATTAAATTCGTACACCGAGGTATGCCTGTATTTCTGTGTATTTAGAGGTTTGCCTGGAGTTCAATTTTAAAGCCCAACTCCAGACAAAATTTTTATTTAATTTTTTGATAGTGTGGAAGTTAGAACCGAAGTAGGTTGCTGTGGTTTGTCACTCTTTGGACATCATCATACCGTTACCAGACAAGCCCAAATGTCTCTCAGCTATACGTAAATAATGGCGCTGCATCCATTCACTTTACCTCATTCTTGCTGCTGTGAAGAGCTACCATCTGACAAATGCCCCAGTAATTTTCTGTTACATCAAGGCATCTTGAAGAGCCAGCCTTTCATTTATTTCCAGGGTAAGCCATTTCTACAGTTATTTCATGATAGTGCTGAGATGGCACTTCTGCACGGTGAACTTCCTCAATGAAGCGGGCCGCGTTCTTGTTGAGGGAGCGGGATTTGTTGTAATTCTGAGGTGTCTGAAGATCACAACTACGCCGTACTGCCAAGGGGACAACAATAAATAGTATTTACAAAATCGCTGGAGACGAAATAGATGGATAATAGAAGAAAATGGATTATGATTGGTGAAAAGTGAAAGTATATTATCCTGTCAATAAGCACATATATTTTTATTTAATATTGCAACATTCACCTGTAGAAATATACACAAAACTAAAAATGACAAATCTGAGGCAGTCCATCAATAATAACGATTTCTGGGTCCTCTTGTGACACCCCTTGTTTTTACTGCTATGTGAAGCTCCTTACTTTCATCCTGGATGACAACAATTTTACCAGACAAGATGTAAGGGAAAATCTTCAATAGGGACCCAGAAACAAAAAGTCTGACAGGAAATCTACAAACCGTTCAGTGTCTGCTACCCCTCTCTGCCAATCCCTCCACTGGCTTCCACTTGCTCAACGAATAAAATTCAAAATACTAACAACAACTTACAAAGCCATCCACAACTCTGCCCCCAGCTACATCACCAATCTGGTCTCAAGATATCAACCAAGCCACTCTCTTTGATCCTCCCAAGGCCTTCTACTTTCTAGTTCCCATTTCACCTCCTCCCATGCTCACCTTCAGGACTTCTCCCGTGCTTCTCCCATCCTATGGAACTCTCTACCCCAACCTCTCTGGCTGTCTCCTAATCTATCCACCTTTAGATGATCCCTTAAAACCTTTCTGTTTAACCTCCCTAGTGGTATGATTATTTCATATTTTTGGTGCTGAAAGCGGTACCATTATTTTGCATGGAAATATGTAGTTTTTTTATTGTAGGCTGTAATTTTTAGGAATAACTCACTGAAATCTGTCTGAACAAGATTCTAAATCATACATTTAATTCAATAATATAATCAAACCAAAAACACTGAAATTTGAAATATAGCGCCACGTTCGTACATCGCTGAGCAAAGTCGCAAAATTGTTTTCAGTGTCTGATGATGAATTTCTCCACGAATCATTATCACTCAATTCTGGAAGTGGTTCTGATTTACTATCGCTGTTCTCTAGCTGGTCTAAACCTGCTTTTGACCTAAAGGGACACTTTTTGGACGCCATGGACTTTTCTAAGTTTCCAGGCAGAAAGAACAATCAAAATGCAGACAGGGGACAGGACAAAGCACTCAGGACAAAATGTATGTGAAATGGGTTGAAACAGCAATGTTTTACTATGTAAAAATCGTTTTGAAAAAAAATAATTTTTTTTTTAAAATTTTCAAATTTCCCACTGCCGCCGCCCGTACGTCCCGACGTCACAGGGACCGGAACACAGGAGGCGGATGCCGGCATCGGCCGGAGGAGATGGCCGGGGACGCTGCAGGGGACACATCGTGGGAGCCAAGGACAAGGTAAGTGCTGCAGGGACTCCCTATGCAGCGCCGCATGGTAAGCCCGAGTGTAGCTCAGGGTTACCGCTTTTGGTACTGACATTTTACCCCGAGCTGCACTCGGGAATACCGTTAGGGAGGTTAAAGAAGTCTATCCTGCTTCTACTTTGTAAACCGCCATTTATTTCCTCCATCAGCTCACCCCCCCCCACAACTATTACCTTTTGTATTACTCAACCCTTCCTTCTAGATTGTAAGCTCTAACGAGCCGGGCCCGCTGTTTCCACTTCTACCAAATTGTATTGTAACTGTAATGTCTACCTTTATTTTGTAAAGCACTGCGCAAACTGTTGGCGCTATATAACGCCTGTATACTGTAATAATAATAAATCTAGCCTTCCCCTTCCCCTTCTCTACTGAAAAAAAACATTTTTATTGCTGGCTGTGTGTTGGAGAGTTCTCCTCACTTCCTGTTTGGAGGGGAAATCTCTCCAATGGAGTTAGAGAGGATAACACTAAAAAACTGCCAGGGGCTCTAAGGCTCATGTACACTGCAGCTGATATACTCACGTTTAGGAGCTGTTCAGCGTTTTTTTTTCAGCAGCACCTGAACTCACCCTAATGTTTTCCTATGTGTCCATGTACACATCGTCGTTTACAGTCGTTTACAGACAGTTGAGTTTACAGTCATTTTTTTTAACGCACCAAACTTGCGTTCAGGAGTAGATTTTATCAGCGTTTCAAACGCTAAACACTTGTAAATGCGGCTAACTGCTTTTATATGCGTTTGCATTTGGAAATTTTTTTTAACTCTTCCATTTTCAGATGGACATGTCCAGAGCCTATTTTAACCACTTGCCTACCAGGCACTTATACCCCCTTATTTACCAGGCCAATTTTCAGCTTTCAGCGCTGCCGCACTTTGATTGACAATTGCGCGGTCATGCAACATTGTACCCATATGAAATTTTGATCATTTTTTTCTCACAAATAGAGCTTTCTTTTGGTGGTATTTAATCACCACTAGGCGCTTTACTTTTTGCGCTATAAATAAAAAATTGCCAAAAATTTGAAAAAAAAAAAAAAGTTTCTTTGTTTCTATTATAACATTTTTCAAACAGGTAATTTTTCTCCTTCACTGATGTGCGTTGATGAGGCAGCACTGATGGGCACTGATAAGGCGGCACTGATGGGCACTGATAGGTGGCACTAAAGGGCACTGATAGGCAGTACTAATGAGGTGGCACGGATAGGCACTGGACACTAATATGCAGCACTGATAGGATAGGCACTGATAGGTGACACTAATGATGGGTACTGATAGACGGCACTGACTGGCATCACTGCTTGGCACTGACTGGCGGCACTGACTGGCACAACCACTGGGCACTGACTGGTGGCACTGACTGGCAGCACTGCTGGGCTGCACTGGTGGGTGGCACTGGTGGGCAGCACTGATGGGTGGGCACAGGTTGGTGGCACTGCTGGGCACAGGTGGTGGCACTGGTGGGCACAGGTGGGGGGCACAGGTGGGTGGCACTGCTGGGCACAGGTAGGTGGCACTTCTGGGCACAGGTGTGTGAAATTGCAGAGTGGCACAGGTGGGTGCACTGCTGGGCACAGGTGGGTGCACTGCTGGGCACAGGTGGGCGGAGCTAGTGGGCGCACTGCAGGGCACAGGTGGGCGGAACTTGCGGGTGGCACTGCTGGGCACCGATCATCAGGGCTCTGATCATCAGTGCCCTGATGATTGGTGCCGATCCCCGCTCTGACAACTGCCGGTTCTCGGCAGTACTTTCCTCACGATCTGACAGCGTGAGGAAAGTGCAGCCGAGAACCGGCACTTGCATTTCCCTCTGGTCATTGGACACCGCTGATCAGGTGGTAAAAGGCCGCTGTGATTGGCCTTTTACCACATCACGTGATCAGCTGTGTCCGTAGGACACAGCGATCACGGAGATCGCCGGGTGTGCCCCCCCTGGGGTGCGCAGGAGAGCGCGTTCTGGGGGGACGTCATATGACGTCCACTCAGAACTGGCCAGCCGCAGTGCAGCCGTCATTCGGCTATCTGCGGTCGGCAGGTAGTTAATCATGAAAAATGCATGCAAAGTTTTTTCCCGGTACTCAAATGGACCTGGTACACCATACTTTGAGGTTTCGCATGACAGAAAATATGTTAGACACCGCTGCAATAATTTCTGCACAGAAATGAACTGGAACACATCCAAACACCACAAAAAAAGAACAAAACAAAGACAGCTAATCTCAACAAATACTACTCTCTCTGCTTCTGCTCTCTCTCGTTCTCTCAAAATGTCTGAAATAGTTAATAGTTTTTACTGTTTTTCAGTGCATTCTGGGCATTTTGGAAGCTCTTCTGAGGTTATCTTTAAAAAACACTTCTAAACGCAAACGCTCATAAATGCGTATAAACGCGGTATGCAAACGCGGCTAAACAGACGTTTTTTAACCTACGTTTTCCAGCAGTCAATTTCCATCGTTCAGAAGTGTCCCGTGTACATGGAGCCTAACTCTTCCCAACTCTATCCAAAACTAAGTAAAACATTTTACCTTGACACACACCTTAACCACTTGCCCCCAGAGGATTTACCAGGCCATTTTTTTAAATACGGCGCTGCATTACTTTAACTGACAATTGCGCAGTTATGCAACGCTGCAGCTAAATTAAATTTATGACCTGTTTTCCCCTCAAATAGAGCTTTCTTTCAGTGGTATTTGATTGCCTGTGCGTTTTTGTATTTTTTGTGCTATTAAAAAAAAATGCGACAATTTTGAGTAAAAAAAACAATATTTTTGATTTTTTTGCTATTAAACATGTCCAGTAAAAAAATGTTAAAAATCAAACTTCATCATAAATTTAGGACATGTCTTTGCTAAAAAAAAATCCCAATACGTGTAAATTAATTGGTTTACGGGAAAGTTATAGCATTTACAAATCGTGGTATAGATATTGGGATTGTTTAATATTTTTTTATTTTTACTAGTAATAGCGGCGATCAGCGACTTATGGCGGGACTGTGGCGGGCATTCTGACACTGGGGGGAACTGACTTGATGTCACTGACATCCCCAGTGACACCAATACAGTGATCAGTGCTAATAAAAAGCACTGACACTGTACTAATGGCACTGGGCAGGAAGGGGTTAACATGTGGAGCAAAAAAAGGGTTAACTGTGTGTGTTTTGCATACTGGGCTGTGTCTGTGCTTCACTGTAATCACACTGATTTGCATGGCTGTGCTGTGCAGAGCCACACAAAGCAGTGTGCAGGAGCTAACAGGGGAGAGAACTGTTTTGTTTACAAACAGTTCTCCCCCCGTTGGAGATGCTCGGCAATCACCGGGGGCCAGCGAGTAATCAAAGTCCATTGTCAAATGGAGCACTGTGGCACCATCTGTCACCCGAAACTGATCAGTGTACCAGCCGCTTATGGTAACATTTAATCACTGTGACCAATAACAGCAGATCACATGACAATTGTACACAATGGATGGAATTCATTCATGCCATCCCATCCATTGTGTACTATAGTGCTGATCTCTGTGATTGATCACATGGTACAGACAGGGCCAATCACAGCCCATCTGTACCATGTGATTAGCTGTGGCCAGTCACAGCTAACAACGATGCTAAATACTGAATGAATTGATTTCATTCAGTAAAAATGATTGTTTATACTGTAGCAGTGAAATTCATTGCTATAAGCAATCATAGTGTGTAAAAAAAAATCCTGATCACTTCCCCGGAATAGTACAGTGTTACTCTGGTAACACTGTATTGCTCTGGTCACAGTGGTCACAGTATGTTAAAAAAAAAAGTTAAAAAAAGAAAAAATATAATTTACTTTTTTTTTTTAATTATTTAAATATTTTTTCTGAGTTTTTTTTGCTTACGGTCACCAGTCCCTGTTCAATGACACACCAATTATATGATAATGATATACTGCACTGGTGACAGTATGTAAAAAAAACAAATAGAGAAAAAAATATTTTTTTTTAAATGTTTCACAAAGAATTGTGACAAAAAAAAATACAACTTAAAAAAACTTACAATGGTCTGTCTACTTTAAAAAAGGGGTAATTTGGGGGATATTTGTACTATCCTGGCATTTATGGGCTTCAAAACAGGAGATAGGTCATTAGTACATTAGGACTGATCAATTTTCAGATATATATCCCATAGTTTGCAGAATCTATAACTTTCCTACAGACTAAATAATATACACTGCTTTGGATTATTTTCACCAACAAAATGTAGCAGAATACACTTTTCCCTACATTTTTTAAGAAAGATTATTTTTTTGCAAAATTTTATAACAGAAACAAAGAAAAACACATTTGTTTTTCAATATTTTCATTTTTTAAAAATCAATTATGCAAAAAATAAAAAACCCAGTGATGATTAAATGCCACTAAAAGAACGCTCTATCTGAATAACATAGAATAAAATAGAAAATAAAAGAATTTAATAAAATAGAATAGAAATAGAAACTAAAGAAATAGAACAGAAAAGAAAAGAATAGAACAGAAAAAAATTAATTGATTAGAATAGAATAAAATAGAATATAACCATCTTCTCAAAATTTGAATAGAATAGAACCAGCTATTCTTCACAATGAATTTGGATCAATTCATTATTTTTTATTTGAATTTGAGGCAAATATTTCAAATCCATTGGAAATATTTGAATTTGGTCGAAAATGAATAAACGAAATGAAGCAAATTTCATTACGAATGCAACAAAACAAAATTAGTAACTCAATGAATCGATCTGAAATGCAACGAAATGATTTTTTTTCATTTTGCACATCTACCAAGGACCCACTCCAATGGACCAGACATGGTCTCAGAATCCTCTTCTTCTCAGTGTCTCAAAAAAAGAAAACTCATTAGTGCAATAGATCCATAAACAAATATATTCTACAGTATTACATTGTGCTCACATTATATACATTTGTAATTAAATTCAAACATGGCCCCATGCACCATACCCAACACAATCCCTCTAACACAGGGTTGGGTGATCTCAGGGGCGGACTGACCATTCGGGCTCTCAGGCACTGCCCGAGGGCCCAGGGTCAGTAGGGGGCCCCATGAGATGCCCCTGGTACCTTTCATAGGCTTTTTTTGGGTGTGGTTTGAGTGTGGGCATGGACACAGGGGCCCCATGATCCCCTATTGCCCGGGGGCCCCATGAGTTGTCAGTCCGCCCCTGGGTGATCTTGCTTATAATGTTCTTCTTCTATTCCATTCCTCCGGTCCATTTATTGCACAATCCCCCAATAGATAGGTTGTATACAGGACATGTAAAAGCAAAAGAAGCTAATAGTGCAGAATTTCCTTTAAAAACACATGTATTACAATCAAAATGCTCACATTGACAGGAATATACAATCTTCCCAGCATCCGAGATGGCAGAATGGGCACTTCTGGTTCCGGTGTCAGCGTTTGAGGTCACTTACTGACGCGTTTCATCGTGACTGACTTTGTCAAATACTTTGTCACTCCCTTGTCACTGTACCTCTGAGCTCGGTGGAGAGGTGATAGTTCACCACATGTGTGGGGGTGGGGGGGGGGGGGGGGGGGTTTGAGAGCTTACTCCTGTGATGATCGGGGTGAACAGTAATGGCTGGGAGTGTCTTAGCAACATCCTAGCAACAAGGCGGGCCAGGATGAAGCAATCTCTAAGAGTTTTTTGTCCAGGCTTCAGGAGGTTCGTAAATGGCCTATGTCATTTAGTCAGTTTCCTGACGAGATTCTGAGGAATGCTGAGTACTCTATACCTCACAAGAAGACGGTGCACATTGCAGGATCCTCTACTCAGCGAGATTTGAGCAACTCTCATTTGGGCATTCTCCAGGATGTTGCCAGGAAGAGGATGCCACCATCAATTTGGCACTGCAGGTGGAAGCCAGGGGAAAGGTAGGTATCATTATCTTTTACCAAAGACATGTAGCAAAATATATTTTGGCTTAAATTTATGAAAAAATTTGATTTTTTTTATTGAATATGTTTTATAGCAGAAAGTAAAAAAAAAATATATTTTTTTTCAAAATGTAAGTTTTTTTTTGTTTATTCGTTTGTTATATAATAAAAAATAAAATACCCAGTGCTGATCAAATACCACCATTTTTTAAATCAAAGACATGTAGCAGAATACATCTTGGCCTAAATTTATGATAAAGTTTAATTTTGTTTTCAATTTTTTTTATTTAATATGTTTTATAGCATAAAGTACTAAATATTGTTTTTATTTTTTCAAAATTAGTTTTATTTTGTTTGTTTATATAATAAAAAGTAAAATACCCAGTTCTGATCAAATACCACCATTATCTTTCACCAAAGACATGTAGCAAAATACATTTTGGCTTAAATTTATGAAAAAATTAGATTTTTTTATTGAATATGTTTTGTAGCAAAAAGTAAAAAATATATATTTTTTTCAAAATGTATGTTTTTTTTTTTTGTTGTTTATATAATAGAATACCCAGTGGTAATTAAATACCACACAAAGAAAGCTCTATTTGTGGGGAAAAAATGATATAAATTTTGTTTGAGTACAGTGTTGCATGACTGCGCAATTGCCAGTTACAGTAGCACAGTGCTAAATAGCAAAAATTGGGCTGGTCATGAAGGGGGTAAAATCTTCCAGGACTTAAATGGTTAAAGGCCATTTTAGAGTGTAAGTTCCATGAGTCGGGCCCTCATATTCCTTCTGTACTGAAATGTATTGTAATTGTACTGTCTCCCTTAAATTGTAAAGTGCTGCGCAAACTGTTGTCGCTATATAAATCCTGAATAATAATAATAATAATAATGTGAATGAAGGCCTAATAAATACAGAGCTGCACTGATTATTTTATATCTGCCTAGAGTTCATCTTTAACTACTTGCCGACCGCAGATAGCCGAATGACGGCTGCACTGCGGCCGGCCAGTTCTGGGTGGACGTCATATGACGTCCTCCCAGAACGCGCTCTCCTGCCCGCCCCCAGGGGCGCGCACCCGGCGATCTCCGTGATCGCTGTGTCCTACAGACACAGCTGATCACGTGACGTGGTAAAAGGCCAATCACAGTGGCCTTTTACCACGTGATCAGCCGTGTCCAATGACACGCTGATCACCGGGAAATGCAAATGCCGGTTCTCGGCTGCACTTTCCTCACGCTGTCAGATCGTGAGGAAAGTACTGCAGTTGTCAGAGCGGGGATCGCAACCGATCATCAGGGTCACTGATCATCAGTGCCCTGATGATCGGTGCCCAGCAGTGCCACACACAAGTTCCACCCACCTGTGCCCAGCAGTGCGCCCACCTGTGCCCAGCAGTGCGCCCACCTGTGCCACCCAGCAGTGTCACCGCCTGTGCCCAGTAGTGCCACCCACCTGTGCCCACCGACCTGTGCCCACCAGTGCCACCCACCAGTGCCCATCAGAGCATTCCCAGCAGTGCTGCCAGTCAGTGCCACCAGTCAGTGCCCAGCAGTGCCGCCACTCAGTGCCCAGTAGTGATGTCAGTCAGTGCCACCTATCAGTGCTGTCTATCAGTACCCATTATCAGTGTCGCCTATCAGTGCCACCAATCAGTGCCGCATATCAGTGCCACCTATCCGTGACACCTCATTAGTGCTGCCTATCAGTGCTGCCTATCCATGCCACCTCATTAGTGCCGCCTATCAGTGCCGCCTATCAGTGCCCATCAGTGCTGCCTCATCAACGCACATCAGTGAAGGAGAAAAATTACCTGTTTGAAAAATTTTATAATAAAAACAAAGAAACTTTTTTTTTTTTTCACATTTTTTTGCATTTTTTTGCTTATAGCACAAAAAGTAAAGTGCCCAGCAGCGATTAAATACCACCAAAAGAAAGCTCTATTTGTGAGAAAAAATGATAAAAATTTCATATGGGTACAATCTTGCATGGGTACAATCTGCGCAATTGTCAATCAAAGTGCGACAGCACTGAAAGCTGAAAATTGGCCAGGTAAATAAGGGGGTATAAGTGCCCGGTAGGCAAGTGGTTAACTAAACATTCTACTTCATTGACACGTTTCTTCACCGACAGAGCTAACAATTGTTTAATTTACCAGACGTTCCCCGCCATCTAACAGTTTAATATCATCAACCTTCCGTTTTTTGTATCATCCTCTCTTGTGAAATGTACTGAAGTGCTTTAGCTGTGACTGTAGAAACCAAGAAATGTCATTAGACAATGAGCATTCTGTCGCTTTAGGCGTAATTGATTTAAATCTCCAACACTTTATACATAAGAAACTCCAGAACTGTGAAACAGAAATGGAGTCGAAATATATCAGGGTGCTGAAGAGAGATCACTTGCGAAAAAAAAAAAAAATGACAAACATTGCAAGAGACGTGACCTTCATCACGGCTCGGGCTAAGATGCGGAGCTGACAGTGTCACAGAAGAGTAACATAAATAAGATTTGTGCTTTGAGTCCGCTGGTGACAGATGAAAGTGCAGGCTCCTTAAAATAGAACCAATGGGAAGGTGACTAAATCTCTGCACGGCTCTCCAACCGGCCCGATTCTAATTAGTCCACAGATGACCTGTGAAACACTATACTATTAACATGACTCACTACTATTAAAGAGCTGTATTTTAAGACAGCCTAGAAAGTGGAGATGAAGAGCGGCTGAGAGCCCACCTGTATCTGGCAGATCTTTCAGCAGAGAGTTCTGTCAAGGCTGGCATAATCCTTCTTTGGACTCTTCTGAGAGTTTGAAGTACTTGTGGCCACAGTAGGAACACATACTACATTAAATTACATGCTAGGACATACCATATTAAGGGAAATTCCTTAACCTCCCTAGCGGTCTGATTATGTCCGTATTTCTGTGCTCAAAGCGGTACTTTTTTTTGCATGGAAATATGTTGTTTTTTTATTGTAGGCCTGTAATTCTTAGGAATAACTCACTGAAATCTTTCCGAACAAGAGTCTAATAAACATCCCAGGTGTGATAAAATTTGAAACACAAAATCATAAATTAAAATGTAATAAATAATCATAAAAAATAATAAAATAATAATAATAAAAAAATTCAATAATGTAATCAAACCAAAAACACTGAAATTTGAAATAGAGCGCCAAGTTCGCACATCGCTGAGCTTAGCCGCAAAATCGTTTTCAGTGTCTGATGACGAATTTCCCCCACGAATCATTATCACTCAATTCTGCAAGTGGTTCTGATTTACTATCGCTGTTCTCATGCTGGTCTAAAACCGCTTTTGACCTAAAGGGACGCTTTTTGGACGCCATGGACTTTTCTCAGTTTCCAGGTAGAAAGAACAGTAAAAATGCAGGCAGGGCACAGGACAAAGCACTGGGGAAAAAATGTATGTGAAATGGTTTGGTACAGTAATGTTATCAGATTTTAGTGTATTTAGTGAATGTCATTTTTAAAATTTTTGAATTTCCCGCCGGTTCCATCCCCCATACGTCCCGACGCTCGCAGGGACTGGAACCCGGAAGACAGATGCCGGCATCGGCCAGAGGAGATGGCCGGGGACGCTGCAGGGGGGACATCGTTTGAGCGCAGGACAAGGTAAGTGCTGGACGGAATCCCTGAGCAACGCTGCAGGGTAATTCCGAGTGTAGCTCGGGGTTACCGCTTTTGGTACTGAAAGTTAACCCCAAGCTACACTCGGGGATACCGCCAGGGAGGTTAATGCTCCTCTGAAAAAAAATTGGAGAGGTTCTTGCACCTTGGTGAAAGGGGCTCTTGACTGGTGGAAGCATGGCATAATGCAAGGAGTTACTTTACTGGCCATGCTTAAAAAAATAAAAGATTACTGGTTCCTTCAGACTTTTTGAACCCTTTTTAACCCCTTGACGCTGAGTGTATGCAAATATGCAGCCTCTCCGCGTCTGGGCCTTGACACTGAGCAGCTGCATATTTGTGTGCAATTAGAAAATACATATGTGCTGAGAGCGTGTGCCCTGCGAACTCCCAGCACATATGTCCGTGATTCACGGAAAGGTCCTGATCTCCCCTTTTGATCAGGACCTTTTCCAATCATGTGATGGCGAATCACTGCGTGACCCTAAAACCCCGCCCGCCTTATGGCTTCTGAAACTCTTAAAGGGCTGGGAGGCACCGGCGCTAAGAGGTTAAATGTGAAGGAACCCTTGAAAAAAACATTGAGATCTCAGCTTATGGGACATTAGCATGAAGTTGCAGATGTAATGATAAATGAAGGAATGTTATGGTGTGTACTTTGGGTTTCTTTATAACTACTTACAGATCGCAATGTACTGCAGATGGGTGGCTCGAACAGGCACAGCGGCGTACCTGTATGTCACTGATCTCCTCCGGGTACAGGGTGTGTGTGTGCGCTCCCCCAACTGCCGACTCCTGCTGTAATTGTACACAGTGGGAGTTTGTCAACAGGTCTCAGCCAATGAGTCATGGCCAGGACCTGCTGATTGGCTGTGTCCAATCACAAGCCAGAGCCCTGTGTTGCCAATCAACACAGGGCTCTGTACAAAGGGAACAATCTCTCTGTTTCTTTTCCCTGCCAAACAGGGAGAAGAAACAAAGAGATTTTTTGTAAAAAGCAGCACACATTACACAAAATAACACTTGTTCGGCACATACTTTACCCCTTGATTACCTGAGATGTTAACCCCTTCCCAACCAATGTCATTAGTACAGTGACAGCATATAGTATTATCACTGATCACTGTATTAGTCTCACTAGTGATGACAGTCTCAGATCCCGACGCACTATTACAGTCCCACTATAAGTCGCTGATCACCGCTATTAGTGGTATAAAAAAAATGTGTTATTTATGATCAAATACCACAAAAAGAAAGCTCTATTTGTGTAAAAAAAATATATAAATTTCATTTGGGTACGGTGCAGTGCTAAATAGAAAAAATGGCCTGGTCATGAAGGAGGTAAAACCTTCCGGAATCTGAAGAGGATAATGACTGTTTTTAATAATAATAATGGAATTAAGCAAATGATATTAATGACCAGAATAAAATACACACATCAGTGGATCAGTGGAAAAATGACCCTTTACATTGATGGCCATGGGAGAAATGCCTCCTTCTACTGGTGGTCAGCGGAAAGAAATCCCCCACCCTATCTTATAAAAGATACCAGAAAGATCATTGGTGTCCCTGGAAGATTACCTGAGAGGCAAAACTGCTCTTTGCTCACGGAACCCCTAGCAGCCCTTAGAGGAACCCTAGGGTTTTCTGTAAACCTAGTTGAGAAAGGCTGGGTTAGTACATCAAAAGAAGAGGGGGGAGTTGGAAGGCAGGGGACTAGTAGGTGAGTGCAGGAAAAGGCCACACCAAACTGAAGCCTCATCCAGTGGCCAAGCAGGTTTTCAGCCTTTTGAAAATTTTCCCACACATCCATACCGTGAAAGATGGTAGAGGATCAAACATAGCATTGCACTTATCTGCTGCCTTGGGGTCTGGATGGCTTAATATCATAAAGGAAACAATTAATTGAAAACTGTAGTAAGCAATATTTCAGGAGAATGTAAGAATGGTAGTCCATCATCTTGAGTATAAGAAAAGTTTTTTTTCTTATATAGAAAATGATAAATCAGCTGAATGACTTAAACACAAGATTTATGTTGTGGAATGGCTACGTCAGTGGTTCTTAGCCTGGGGTACACATACCAGATTTCAGCATCAGTGAACGTGTATCGGGGGTTATTATGTGATTGATCAAAGGTGTTTTTCATTACACATTATATTGTAAATGTAAACCTAGCTCTGGACATCAGGTGTTCAAAGTCTAAACCATAAACTGAACACAATACAGAAATGTGAGTTCTTCAAAAAGACTGTTTTTGAACATACTGCTAAATATATTCCCATGGGCAACACGTTTAAAAGGCTAAAAATCAAACCTATGTGGCTTACGGCCAAAGTTAATAAAGCAATAAATTATAAGAAAAGAGCTTTTATTAAATATAAATATGAAGGAACGCTATCATCATTTAAACATTACAAAGAATATAACAGAATATGCAAAAAGGAAATCAAGATTGCAAAAATTGAAAACGAACGACGGATTGCAAAAGATAGCAGGACAAACCCCCAAAATTCTTCAAACATATTAATAGTAAAAAGGTCCGGTCCGAGCATGTAGGCCCTTTACAAAATAATCTAGAGTGGGTGACTTGGGACAAAGGAGCATGGGGGAGCTCGTCCATAATGGGCATGGTATTGACACAGCTCCAGACGATCCACATTGGCTCACAATTGATATGATCCAGAAATATTTAGACAGAATAAAGGTGAATAAAGCACCTGACCAGATGGCATACACCCACGGGTCCTTAAAGAATTGAGCTCTGACATTTCAAAGCCATTGTCAAGCATTGTCATCACCTCAAACAAAGCCATTGTTTCTAATTTTTAGGGACTCTTTAATGACTGGCATAGTATCACTGGATTGGTTTAAGGCTCAGAACAGCTATGAGAAAAGATTAGAGGAACTGAATGTATTCTCTCTTGAGAAGAGGAG